GCCTGGAGCTGGCTGTCCCTGGCAGTGCCACTTGGAGGGGGCAGGGTGGTGGCTGCCTGCCAGGCTGTGCTGCCGGACGCTGCACTTGCACTGTGGCTCCTCCATGTGCTGTGCCACACTGCTCCTGCCTGCAGCATGGCCACTGTGTCCCCAGGGCTGGGCAGCATGGCCTCACACCCTGTCTCCCTTCGCAGGACGTGCTCAACTCCAAGAATGACACCATCCAGGACCTGCAGCTCCAGCTGGCCCGAGTCTGCAAGGTGAGGTTGGGAAGGAATCCTAGAGGGATTCAAAAGCTGTGTGGATGGGGCACTTAGGGTTGTGGGTTAGTGGTGGCCTTGGCAGTGTCAGGGGAATGGTTGGACTCGATCTTAGAGGCCTTTTCCAACCCAAACAACTCCGCCATTCCATGGCTGTGGTATGGGGGATGGAAATAGGGATGCAGTGAGCCCCTGCCCTGATACAGAGGGGCTGATGGGGACCCTCCCCTCACAGGCACACAACGACATGCTGCAGACCTTCGAGGCGAAGCTGACGGCCTTCGGCATTCCCCTGGACAACCTGGGCTTCCAGCCGCTGGCTTTCCCCCTGCCGGGGCAGGAGCTTGGGCAGGGCCCTGCCGGACTTGTTTCGGTGCCCACCTGACACTGGCCAGAACCAATGGTCCCACTGGCACACTGGAAGTGGGGCTGTGCCCTGTTCTTGCTCTGTGCCATTAAACAGACCCCAGTGAACATCTTCGGGACCCTCTCCTCCCCAGGGGGACCATGGTACAGCTGGAGGGCTTTGGGCATCCCACCAACCACACCGGGCTGCCCCTGCGGCTCCCTCCTTCATCCCCCCCACCAGAATGTGATTTTTTGAGACAAATGGTGGTGGTTGGAGCCTTTAATGGCATCATTCCTCCATCCCTGAGGGGAGGCCGTGCCCCCCTAACTGCCCCGGTACGTTGTGTAGGAGTAGGGGCTGATCAGCAGTGGGACATGAAGCTTCTGTGCCGGGTCAGTAATGGTGAAGACGACCTGGAGGAGAGCAAGGAGGCAATGGTGGGGATCCCCCTCCCAGAGCTGAGCCCAGGGGGGTGCAGTCCCCCAAGCCTGACTGTGGCCCCCAGACCTGCCCCAGGCTCCCCACGCTCCGTACCTCCACATAGGGGTAGAAGCTGGTGTGCCCCAGCCCCTGCCAATACGGTGCTGTCTCAAAGCGCAGCTTGTAGGTGCCGGCCTTGGCCTGTCCTGCTGCCAGGAGGGGCTGGCAGCGCCCATCCGTGTCTGTGTGCCTGAAACCAGACCAAGCCAGACCTGGTGTATCCCCAGAACCTGCCCTGATCATACCCCTGAGCACTGGCCCTGCTGTCAGCAGCCAGTTGTGCCAGGAGCCTTCAACCAAGCTCACAGGGACTGGTAGCACCGTCCCTGTCCCGTTCCCGTGTCACCAGCTCTCCTACCTCTGTGCCAGCTCCCTCCACTGCAGCCCTGGCTCCACCAGCTGGTCCAGGTGGATGACAAGGCCAGCTGCCGGCAGCCCTGTGGCCGTGTTGAGCACGTGGGTGGTCAGGGAGCCGTTCCCCATGTGGGACATGCTGTCAGCCTGCAGAGGAGGGGGAAGGGGGGCTGGGACCTGTCCTGGCAGCACCACGTGCCTCCCCCTTGGCTGTGCCATAACCCAGCCCCCACACCATGCTGTGCCGCACAGCCAGGATATGGGCCCCCACCTCCTTCCCATGCCACAGGGTTCAGCCTCAGGCACTGCAACCACTGTGGTGTGGGTGCTGGCTGGTTCCCACTGGGAAGCAGGGCTCCATGTCTGCAGCAGCACCGCACTCCCTGCTCACCTACCTGTCCTGGTGGGCCACAGAATGGCGGCAGCAGCCAGCCTGGACCCAACAAGGAAGCAGCCCCATCCCTGCCCACGATATCATGCGCGGGTGGACATTGACCCTGCCCGGCTCTCTGGAGCTGTCTGGGGTCAAGGTCAGAGCAGTTGCGGGGGCTGGGCCCCTTCCCCTCCTGGAGCTCCCAGGCTGGGGTGGGACCACAACTCAGGGCTGTGTCCCAGCAGCCGGCACGGCCAGGCAGCCTCCCTGGAGCTGGACCAGCTCCCCCTGCCAGCCCGACACTGGCACTGTCCGACACGGAGAGGCACCCTGGCAAGCTTACCTGGCTGTCCTCGGTCCCGCTCAGCCAGGGGCCCATGGCCGGTGACACTGCACAAAACGCCATCCCCAGCCCTGGCCGCCCTTCCTGGCGCCACAGCCTCTCCCCACAGAGCTGGTGTGGCTGGATGCCGCTATCCTGGCACGAGGCTCCCGCAGAACCGGGTGCTCCTCCCTGGCTGGGCCGAGCCGGCACGGGCGGCTTCCCACTGGGAGCTGTGCCCAGGAGCCCCGCTGACACCCACTCTCCAGCAGTGCTGCAGCCCTGGGGCTGGTGGCCCAGAGCCCGGCGGGAAGATGGGGCGCCAGGCCAGGAGAAACCACAGTGGAGCTACCATCCCAGCCTCGCCTCCCACCATGGAAAGCACCTGGAGCATGTGTGCGCTGTGGCAGCTGGGCACGTAGGGCTGCTGGGAGACAGCACTGGCTTCACCACAGCCTCACCCTCCCTGTCTGCGCTGGGTGGGCAGCGGCGGGGCTCACTGCCTTACCTGCACTGTGATGTGGGCGGTGGTTGTGGCTTGCAGCCCATGTCCCCCCATGTCGGCTGCCTGGATCTCCAGCGTATATTCAGGGACCGCCTGCAGCGAGAGGCTGCGTCACACCTGAACTGGGAGTGGGCACCGGGTGGGGGCCAAGCCTGGGACTCACCTTTGCCACCAGTCCCGGTGCAGCCACAGAGATCAGCCCGGAGTTGCTGTCTATGGTGAACATGTGGGGCTGGGGCTGCTCTGGTGCCTGGCTTAGGATGGAATAGGCCACGACTCCGTTGCTGGAGCTCACAGCATCATCTGCATCAGTGGCCAGTACCCGCAGCACTGGCGTGCCTGGAGCAGGTGGTTATTGGTGACCTGTCCCCACATTCCCTCAGTGCTGCCTCCTAGGCAGTGATGGTGGTCCCACCTGGCTCAGCTCCCTCTGGCACAGAGCCATGGAAAGCTGCCTGGGAGAAGACAGGCGAGTTGTCGTTCTGGTCAGTGACGGTGATGATGATCTCCATGGGGTCCTCCACAGGCTGCCCATTGGCCGACACGGCGTGGGAGTAGAGCTGCAAGAACACAGTCAGCCTGCATGCAGCCCCCAGGACCGTCCACCCCTGCTGCAGGTCCCCACTCACTCACTATGTACTTATCCTTCTCCTCCCGGTCCAGAGGCTTTGTCACCTCCAGCCACCCTGTCTCCCGCTCAATGATGAAGACGCCCACAGGGATGGTGTCCGCTCCCTGCCCCGTGATGCTGTAGAAAACCTTGGTCTCCTTGTCCTTGTTGGATTTGATCTGGCGGTGAGGTGTGAAAAGAGGGGTGAAAGGGATCCTGGTGCTCCAGGGCCTCCCATTCCCACACCCTGTCCCCTCGGGGCCACGTACCTGCGCCAGCTTCTTGGGGAAGGGCCCCTGCTCATTCTCGGGGCAGCTGATGGGGGGAATGACCCAGTCCCTCTTTTGCCGCTGGAGACTGTGTCCATGCTCCGGGAAGGTCAGCGTGTTCTGTGGGATGGAGAGCGAGGCTGTGGGTCTGTGGAGGATCATGGCTCTGCCTGGGGGCTCCGGAGTGGCCATGCAGTGCCCCTGGCCCCACTGGGATGGTCCCACGAGGAGGAGAAAGAGGGTGAAGGTGCAGCATGGCATGGCTGCAGCTGCACTGGCTGCTGCCCCGGGTGCCAGCTGGGGACCTTCCCTGCTGCGTCAGTGACCTTGGCCGCGTCCTGCCAGGAAAGCAGTGCTGGATTTCCAGCACTGCCACCCACAGGGAGGGGGTGGGGGAGCCCTATGTGGGAGCCCAGTGCATGAGATGCTGCTCCAGGCTGGGGGTCATAAAGGAGCCCAGGAACTCTCCGGGGCACTGTCCCTTGGGGGCCACAGGACCCCCCCACTCCAGCAGGGTTGGGGTGCACACATGGTTCCCCTCAGGGATCCCAGTGCAGGCCTGTGGGTCCCGTGCACCCATAGGCGGCAAAGGGGGAGGAGGCACTGGGAACTGCGTGAGGAAATCGGGGGGGTTCCTGCAGGGCGTGGCAGGGAGATGGGGGCACTAGGAGGGATGCATGGAGGTAACAGGAAGGTACCCAGAGATACTGGGATGCCCGAGCATGTCCATGGGGCCGCGCAGAGGGGCCGGGGAAAGCAGCAGTGAGGGGCTGGGGGCATCGGGGGGTGGCATGGAGAGCCAGGGTGCTGCTTGATGGGTACCAGGCAATGCCTGAGAGTTGTTCGGGTCTACTGGGGGTTTCCAGGGGGATACCGATGGGTGCCCCAGGGGTGCCGGGGATGTGCCTAAGGGGTGACGGGGGGTTAACGGGCAGAGGGGTATCGCGGATTGTCCAGAGTTGCCGAGAACTTCCAAGGGGCTACCAAGCGGTGCCCGAGGGTTCCCGGGAGATGCTGAGGGCGCCTGGGTGGTACCGAAGGTTGCCAGGGGGGTTCAGGGGAGTACCAGTCAGTGCCCGAGGGGTATCGGGGGGTGCCCTGAATAAAGGAGGGTACCAGGGATTGCCAGGGAGTTCCAGGGGGGTACCGGCGATGCCCGGGTGATACCAGAGGTTGCTGGAAGGGAGCCCGAGTGGTATCGGGGGGGGTGCCATGTGGTATCAGAGGTTGCCGTAGGTTTCCAGAGAGGTACCGGGGTGTAACGTGGATTTCTAGGGGTGGCGGGGAGGTAACGAGGGGTCCCAGGAGTAATAGAGGAGTCCCGAGGATTGCCTGGGGATGCCCGGAGGTGCTGAGGCTGCTCTCCGGGGCGGGGTGGGGCGGTACCTGCGCGGCCACCGCCTCACCTGGGGCGGGACGGGGCGGGACGCGGCGGGCGGCAACCGGAGCGGCGCGGCGGCAGAAGCAGCGGACGGGCCATGCGGGGGCCGCGCTCCGGGCTGTGCCCGCTCTCCGTCTTCATCCTCTTCCTCCTTCCCCAGCTCCTGCCGGCAGCCGCCCCCTCCCCGGCCCCGCCGTGCGCCCCCCCGGGGCTGCGCCGCGGGCTGTTCCCCCCATCAGGTAACTCGCACCGTCGGGGCGCGGCGGCACCGGGACCCCCGGGGCTACCCGAGGACGGGCTGGGGCCGCGATTGGGGTTACGGGCGCTGTGGGGGCGGCAGGGCCCCCCTTGCTGCCGGATCGAGCCCACTTTGCCCCCGGTCGTGGGGCCGCTGCTTTTCGCGGAGACCTCGCACTGCCCCGGGTGTGGGATTGGCCACAGACCCCGGTGTGGGACTGGCGGAGGTCTGCGGGTGTGGGACTGCGCCATGGGACCGGCTGGGCTCCTGCGCCCTAGGGCTGTGCCCCCCCCCGGCCGTGAGGCTCGCTATAGGGCAGTACCCCCCTCCTAGGGCTGTGGGACTTGGCCATGGGGCTGGCGGTGCCCCGTGAGACTAGTGGTGCCTGTCTGGCCCCATGGAGCTGGTGGCGGCGATGCCGGCGCCTCTGGCCCAGCCGTGGGGCGCCCGCCGGCAGCAGGGCTGGGTCCCCGCAGGGTGGGTGCCCGGCGCCGCTCTGCTCATGGGGTGGGGTGCCTCGGGGCCACCCTTTTCCGGCCTTGGCGTGCGGGGTCCAGCTGGCCCGAGGCCAGGCAGGGGCCCGAGCTGGGGCAGGAGCTCAGAGCTGGGTAGGGGTCGAGTCTGGACAGGGTCTCGCTGCCAGCTCTTGGCCCGGTGCTGGCGCTTGGCCTGGGCCTGTTGCCCTCTTTGCTCGGAGGCTCCTGGGGGATTGGGGCTGCCCGGGAATGCGGCCGGAGCCAGCGCTCGGCTAATGGCCGCGGGGGCACTAAAAGCTCTCCTTGGCGGTAAGTGCCAAAGAGAGGCCTCGACCTCCGCTACCACATCCCGCTTCTCATCTCGCTTCCATCGGCTGAGCCTGTCAGGAATGGAGCTGAGCACTGCCAGGCCTCTGCCATGGGCAGGGGCTGGGGTCTTGCCACGCCACTGCGATCCCCTTCCGTGGGCAGCACATGGCCTAGGCACCGACCGTGCGGCTCCGCCTCGGCACCCAGTGGGCGCGGTGCCATGTGGGTTCTGCAAGGAGGGACCCCGGGGGCACGGTGGGGTTACGCCCTGTGCTGCCTGACCCTTCGGTGGGGAGAAGTGACGTGTGGCACAGATGGGGACTGAGGGCTCCCCACGGCGGGGGTTGGGGGCTTCCCCGGGCTCCTCCTGCCCCAGACCTGTTTCCCAGGTTGACTGATGTCCCTCCAGCCCCCTTTACCGCGTCCATCGCAGCTGGGAGGGGCCCCTGCACTGCCTTCGGGTATGGCCGCTGAGCCCCACATGGCCCCACCTTCACCCGCGGGCTCCCTGCCTGCCCAGTGTGGGGCAGCCGTAGAGTACAGCTTTCCCTGCCTCATTCCATGATTCCTGCAGCCCCCCTAGCCCCGCTCCCCGACCCCCCCGGGCCGTTCGGCCGCCCAGAGCTGGCTCAGCTCCGCTAATCCCCTAATCCTGGCCCCGGGGGGGTGCGGAGTCGGAGCCGTGTCCAGCACGGGGGATGCAGAGTGGGAGGAGGGGAGGGAGATTCAGAGCCCAATGTCCTGGCCACGGGGGGTTGGGAGCCCCTAGGGGTGTGACACACCACCGGGAGGGGGCTGGGGCAGGGCTCTGCCCGCCCAGGAATTTCCCATCATCTGTGAAACAAAGCCGAAACTTCCACCGAAACTTCCACTGCGCTCCCGTACGGCTCCCGGTGTCCCTACCCTACTTCCACTGTCCCCTGCTCCACTCCCACTGTCCTCTGCCCCACTCCGGCTCGGGACTCTGGCGGGTTGCGGGTCCTGGAGCTGGTGGTTGCTGCCGGGGAACAGGTCCCCTCCCAGCCTCCTGACCCTCCACCCGCGCAGGGAGCTCTGGAGGCTGCACGGGACCATGCGGGACCGAGGACCGTGATGTCGGGGTGCAGGAGGACACGGGCCCTGTGCGGCTGCCAAGGGTGGGCAGAGCACTTGCCGTACCACTCCCAGATGCTGGTTCCCCCTGGGATGCCACCGGCCAGCCAGACCCTGCTCCAGTTCCCGTGCAGAGCAGGCGCTCCCCCCAGGTAATCCTGCCCTGCCATGTTCCCCATCTCCTGCCCCCCAAGCCAGCTGTGCCCTCACTCACCCTCATCCCACAGGAGCTTCCCAGGGCTCATGCTGCTCTCAGGAGGCAGAAGAGGGACTGGGTGATCCCTCCCATCAAGGTTCCTGAAAACGAGAGGGGCCCCTTCCCCAAAAAACTGGTTCAGGTAAGAGGGGGTCGATCTGAGCTGGGGGTCATGGCACAGAGGTGGGTGCTGGGGTGTCTGTTCCTGCTGCATTGGGGCGGGGTGTGATGTAGTGGAGGGTACTGACCTCCTCCCTGTGTGTCCTCCCAGATCAAATCCAACCGGGACAGAGACACCAAAATCTTCTACAGCATCACAGGGCAGGGAGCGGATGCCCCCCCCGAGGGCATCTTCACCATTGAGAAGGAGTCAGGCTGGATGAAGGTGACACAGCCGCTGGACCGCGAGCACATCGACAAGTACCATGTAGGTCCCTGCTGAGGGGCACTGGGGGATGTCAGAGTACAATGCCAGATCCCCTACTCAACCCCCTGCCCCACAGCTTTTCTCTCACGCCGTGTCTGAGAATGGGAAGCCAGTGGAGGAGCCGATGGAGATCATTGTGACGGTTACAGACCAGAATGACAACAAGCCCCAGTTCACGCAGGAGGTGTTCAGGGGCTCTGTGCCAGAGGGAGCTCTGCCGGGTAGGACCCTGAGCCTTGGGAGAGCTCTGCATCCTGCCAGCCACATCCCTCAGGGACAGCCCTGGGACCGTCCGGTCACAACCCACTCACCAGGACATCCCCGTCCCCAGGCACCTCTGTGATGCAGGTGACAGCCACGGATGCAGACGACGCAGTGGAAACCTACAATGGTGTCATCGCCTACTCTATCCTGAGCCAGGAGCCACGGGAGCCCCATCCCCAGATGTTCACTGTCAATCGGGGCACCGGCACCCTTAGTGTCATCGCCAGCGGCCTTGACCGGGAGGTGCGTTCTGCAGCACTGCAGGGTGGGTGTCCCAGCCTTAGGCAGGGGCTGACGAGGTGTCTGTCTGTCTCTCCGTCCCTGGCAGCGTGTGCGGGAGTACACACTGACGGTGCAGGCGGCTGACCTGGATGGCGAGGGGCTGACCACCACGGCGCTGGCCGTCATTGAGATGGCCGATGTCAATGACAACGCCCCTGAGTTTGACCCCAAAACGGTAATGTGGGCCCCCCCACCAGGTGGGACCCTCCCTGGTGCCCTCCGGGCCATGGTGCTGACAGTGCCCCTGACCCACAGTACGAGGCAGCTGTGCCAGAGAACGTGGCTGGGCGGGAGGTGGCCCGGCTGGCTGTCACCGACCTGGATGAGCCCAGCACGCCAGCGTGGAGAGCCGTCTACTCCATCCTGCGCGGCAACGACGGGGGTGCCTTTGCCATTGCCACTGACCCTGTCACCAACGAGGGCATCCTCCGCACTGCCAAGGTCTGTGTCACCACTGTGTCACCCCATTGCTGCCCACAGTGGGATCCTGCCTGTCCCCTTCTCACTGCCCCTGTCCCGTCCTCTCCCAGGGTCTGGACTACGAGGCAAAGCAGCAGTTTGTGCTCCACGTGGCAGTGGCCAACGAGGTCCCCTTCGTCGTGAAGCTGCCAATGGCCACCGCCACAGTCACGGTCACTGTAGAGGACGTCAATGAGGCACCGGTGTTTGTGCCACTGGTGCAGCTGGCCACGGTCTCAGAGGACGTGCCACCAGGGCAGACCCTCACTGCCTGCACGGCCCAGGACCCCGACAAGGCACAGGGGCAGAGGATCAAGTGAGCAGGGACAGGGTCTGACTCAAAGTCTGGGAGGGTCTCCACTGCCCCCTGCCTCAGCACCAGCTTCCCTGTTCCCCCCCCAGGTATCTGGTGGGACATGACCCAGCAGGGTGGCTGGCTGTGCACCCCGACAACGGCCTGGTGACAGCACGGGACCACCTGGACCGCGAGTCCCCCTTCACAAAGAACAGCACTTACATGGCTGTGCTGCTGGCTGTGGATGATGGTGAGGGACATGAAAGGGCCCTTGTTCCCCCACCCACGTGAGGGGCACATGCTGCCATTGCTGGGAAACACATCCCATCCTACAGCATGGAGCAATGCTGCCTGGCCCCACCCCTGCCTGGGGCATCCGCAGCCCCATGAGGATCTTGGGTTTGGGACTTCCCCCTTCAGCATCACTCCCTACTGTCCCTACCCTTGCTTGGAGTATCCCTGTCCCCATGAGAATCTTGGTTTTGGGGCTCCCCTCTGTCCCCATGCCTGCTTGGGGTATCCACATTCCTGAGAGAATCCTGGTTTTGGGGGTCCTCCTTCCAGCATTACTCTCTTCTGTCCACACTGCTGCTTGAGGTATCCCCATCCATGTGAGGGTCCTGATTTGGGGTCTGACTGACCCCTGCTCAGTCACCCATGTCCCCATGAGGGTCCTGGTTTTGGGGTCTCCCCGCAGTATCATCCCCCCTTCAGGCTCACCACCAGCCACGGGCACAGGGACACTGCTTCTCACCCTGCTCGACGTGAACGACAACGGCCCCGAGGCTGAGCCGCGGGACATCACCGTGTGCCAGCGCAGCCCCGAGCCCCAGGTCCTCACTGTCACCGACAGGGACCTGCCCCCCAACACCGGCCCCTTCCGCGCCGAGCTCACCCACGGCTCGGGGGACAGCTGGGCCGTGGAGGTGGGTGACACAGGTAACATGAGGGCTCCAAAGATAACATAGGGGGTCCTTGACAGAGGCAGCTGTGCTGTGTTTGTGCTCCCAGTGAGTCCCCCATGAGCCCCCCCATCTCCCACAGGTGACACGGTGACCCTGCGGCTGGTGGCAGCGCTGGAGCCAGACACCTACAGCGTGTACCTGCGGCTGCTGGACCAGCCAGGCAGGGCCCAGGTGACCGTGGTCACCGCACGGGTCTGTGCCTGCGAGGGGCCTGCGCAGGGCTGTCCCCAGAGACCCCAGCCCGTCACCGCCCTGCCCTTCGTCCTCGCAGCCCTGGGTGCACTGCTGGCCCTGCTGCGTGAGTGGGGGTCCCGGGGGTCCTGGGACTGTGGGGATGTCCCCAGCATTGGGCAGAATGGGCAACACGTGTCCCTGCTGACACCTCTGCTTCCCCCCAGTCATCCTGCTGCTGCTGCTGCTCTTCGTGAGGAGGAGGAAGGTGACGAAGGAGCCTTTGCTGCTGCCTGAGGATGACACGCGGGACAACATCTTCTACTATGGGGAGGAGGGTGGTGGTGAGGAGGACCAGGTGGGTATGGGGGGTTTGGAGGGGCTGGTGGCAGTAGGGGCAGCCTGACCCTGACCCTGACCCTCTGTGTGTTGGTGTCTTCAGGACTACGACCTGCGGCAGCTGCACCGGGGGCTGGACGCCCGTCCTGAGGTGATCCGCAATGATGTGGCCCCCACCCTTCTGCCAGCGCCCCAGTACCGACCCCGACCTGCCAACCCTGATGACATCGGCACCTTCATCGAGGAGGTGAGTCTGGAGTTGGGGCCCAGGGGGGTGATACCTATATCCACACCAGCTCAACGGTGAAAAGCTCTGACCCCTCCGCCCCCTCCAGAACCTGAAGGCAGCCGACACGGACCCCACAGCTCCTCCCTACGACTCACTTCTGGTGTTCGACTACGAGGGCAGTGGATCGGAGGCCACCTCACTCAGCTCCCTCAACTCCTCCAACTCTGACGAAGACCAGGACTACGACTACCTCAACGACTGGGGCGGCCGCTTCCGCAAGCTGGCTGAGCTCTACGGCGGTGGGGAGGAGGATGATTAGGGACCCCTGCCCTGCTGCCCCCTGCCTTATCGCTGCTTGTGCCTTGGGGGTCCCCCCGCCATGCCCCCCCTACCCCAGTGCAGCCCCCTCGCCTCCTTGCCTGCGTTTTTGTGGTTATTATCTATTTTTTAAGGTATGGAATGACGGCGTGTGATGCTGCGGACGAGGGGACGGGAGCTGGGTCAGTTTTAATAAAGGATTTGTTTTTTTTAGACGCTCCAGGCTCTGTGTTGTGCCCTGGGGGTCAGTGCTGACCACAGCCCCTCAGTGACCCCCCCAGCCCTGTCCCCCATTGTCAACCCCAGTGTGGGTCCCACAGCACAGCTGCAGCATCACCTAGGCACTGCCTATGGGCCCCTCAGGGTGTCCTTGTCTCTATGGGGTGCTGGTGGGCACGGGCAGGACGCTGACCCCCCCAACCTGTGCTCCAGGGCATTGCTGGTGCCAAATCCCTCCTGCCCTGGCAATCCCCCCTGTGCTGGGGCAGCTGGGGGCTTGCAACCCCCCAGGTTGTCACCCTAGGGTGCCCAAGGGTGCTGGCATGGGTGGGCATGGCAGCCCCCAGGCCCAGCAGGACCCCCAGCCCTGGGGTTCTCCCCCTGGCTCTAGTCGCAGTCCCTGGGAGCCATGGGATGGGGGCAGCTGGTGGCACCAGGCATCCCTTGGGCTGTGCCATGGGGCCACTCCTGGCTATGTTGTGTCTGGGGCCAGAGGGGTGAAGGAGAGGACAGGGTGGCTGCAGCACCCCAAGGGGCCCTTCCTACATTGGGGGCTTCCTGGGTACAATGTTTATTCCCCTGCAGAGCTGGGACCTGTGGGGGCCATGGTGTGGGGACACCCTGGAGTCCTCCTGGCTCCTGTCACCCATCGACAGACCCTGCTCCCACAGTCCTGGATAGGCACCCACGGAGAGCCTGGGCTGGATGCTGAGAGTATTGGGGTTGTGGGGGGTCCGGGGGTACCCAGGACATGCAGAGCATCAGGGGTGTTGGGGATACTGGGGGCTGGTGGGGTATTGGGGGTACCAGGGGCTGAAGGGATATCAGGAGTACGACAGTACTGGGGAGCGGTAGTACTGTGGAGGGTACTGAGGGTATCAGGATCGCGGGGGTTCAGGGTCCCGGGAGTACCGGGTTCCCAGGTGCGGGCGGGACGGTACCGCCTCCCATCGGGGCGGGACGGGGCGGTTCCTGGGGGGACCAGGACCCGCGGGGCGGGATCGGTTTGGGACCCGGCGCACCTGCGGCTCTGCAGCGGCAGTACTCGATCTCTCCGGCACCCACCGGCACCCCACCGGCACCAGCCATGGGGCGGCAGGCGGGCTGCCCGGCACCGCTCTGCCTCCTCCTCCTCCTCCTGCTCCAGGTGAGCCACGGGATGGGGCGGCAGGACCCTGCGCGGGACCCTGCCAAGACCCTCCCCGGGGCAGTGGGACCCTGCCTGGGACCCTGCCCGATGTTAACGTCTCTCTCCGGGCAGAGCGGGCACCGGCTATGCCAGCGGGCAACGCCGTGCCAGCCTGGCTTCACCGCCGAGACCTTCGCCCTGACCGTACCGCGGGACAGCGTGGCAGCAGGACGGGCCCTGGGACGAGGTAAGGACATGGGGATGCATGGCTGTAAGGGACAGGGAAGCTGTGGGAATGTGGACAGGACCGTGGGGATAGGGATGGGACCGTGGGGACAGGGCGGATGTGCTGGACGGGGGTGGGCAATGGGGGACACGAAGCTGTGACTCTGTGCCTGAGTGGTTCTGGGGTGACCGTGGGGACATGCTCTGCCCAGCTCCGTGGGGATAATGCTGTGGCAATGGGGATGGTGCCATGGGGACAGTGTGTGGTGGTGGGGATGGTGCCATGGTCGTAGGGATGGTGCCATGGCGGTGGGGACAGGCTTGCTGTGGTGGCAGGTGACACTGGGGACAGAGCTGTAATGGTGTGTCCATGCAGAGGTGGGGCTGCAATGAGGCCACCAGTGGTCCCAGTATGGCACCGGTGGTCCTGTGGGACGGGACGGCATCGTGGCACGGGGGCAGTGGGTGCCGCTCCCCGGGGTGTGCCGGCGTAGGCGGCGCTGACTCAGGCGCCAGAGACCTGTCGGGGCCGGCAGATTGGGGTGTGGGTGCACAGGCACCCATCCTGCTCCACACCTCACCTGGCACCCAGGGTTGACCGGGGCAAACTCCCCTTTGGGCCCCCTGTGCAGTCCCCCAGGTCGGCTCTTGCCATGGCGATGGGCACTGGGACGGGTGTTGTGATGGGCTTCTCAGGTTTTGGGGACATTGGTGTCCCACTGTGCTGGCACCAAAGCCCTGTCCCAGTGTGGCAGGGGGACAGTGGGGAGAGGTGCGCCCAGAGAAGCAAGTGCTGAGGACCTGCTGCCACTTTGGGATCCTCAAAAGTATCTCTGTGGACACTGGGGCTGCAGTTGGGCTGTCGCCATCTGCACCAATTCATAGCTGATGGTGGTGTGCCAAGGTGGTAGAGGTGGGCACAGAGCTGAAGGTGCTGAGCACCCAGCACTGTGCCAGGGGCTCCCAAACACCCTTGGTTCCAGAAAGACTTTGCCTGGGTGAGCTGGGAGCCGAACCCTGCCCCACACCCCAGGAATTGCATTTGTTGTCTTTGTGGTTGATCATTAACAGAGTCTCCTGCACAGAAACCCATGTCCATCGAGGCTGTGCCTGATACCAGGGTGACGGGGCAGCCCTGTGACCGCCCTGTGGCACAGAGACTTGTTGGAAATCCCCCCCTGTCCTTGCGCCAGCACTTTCAGTTTTGCGTCGCCAGCACAGGCAGGGTGTGGGAGGAAGGAAAGGGCCATCTGCCCATGGGGCCATGTGTCACCCAGTGATTCCTGGCTGTGCCATGGCGATGCCGGCCATGGGGTGGCCAAGCCTGGTGGGTGTCAGGCCATGCCGTGCTACACAGCAGCTCAAAGCCCTCGGCCAGGCTGAGGAGCCTGCCTGTAATTATCTTGATGAGTTGAGCGCGGTGTTTTCCCTCCAACAGGTCCGGACAGGCCCCGCGCGGCGCCGGGGCGGCGAAACACCTGTGTGGGGGCTGCAGCATCCTCGGGGCTCTGCTCCATGGGTCTGGGGGCTCAGATGTGGTGGGGACGTGGCGGGGGCTGGGACAGACCCCGTCAGCCCTGGGTGGGGAAACCTCGAGAGTCTGAAGTCACAGTGAAACTAGGGTGACGTCAGTCATGGGACGTGCCACCCGCAGCACCTTCACCCCGGGGTGAGCCCCCCCGCCCTGGCACTGCTGGGGTGTTGGCACTTCTAGTGGTGGCATTGCAGAGGTGATGGCACCTGGCTCTGCCCATGCCCCACCCTGTCAAGACCCCACAGGACATGGGAGTGGCTTTGGGGGGCTGCTCTGTGTGGGATCTCAGGTCCACACCCTGTTTGGCAGCCTAGTCATGCCAGAGTCTGGTTGCCCCAGCGTCCTGTGGAGGGGGCGAGGGAGGACAGTTGGAAAATGGGGAGGATCCCACTGTGGGACCCTCTGAATTCTCCTCTCCTCCCATCCCATCATTCCCAGAGAGGAGAGGGGCCCCTGGGCTCCCAGCCTCGGGGAGGGGAGGGTTGAGGATGGCTGGGGACGGCTCTCCTTCAGCCAAACTGGAAAAACAGGTTGTACATGGCCAGGTGAAAAGGGAGGGAGCAGGAGAGGGGGGAGCAGGAAAGGGGAAGCAGGCACTGAGCACCCAACCCTCATTGAACCCAGTGGGGGCCAAGCACTCAGTACTCATTGCAGCCAGTGTGGGGCTGGGGGCTTGTGCTGCCCCTCGCTGCACCCACCCAACACCATGCCAGGGCCCAGAGCCGGGCACTTTGCCTGTGTCCGTGGGTGCCAGGTGCCTCTCGCTCCCCACTGCGGCAGCACCCGGCCTGCCCCGGCACGTTCCTGCCCAGCCGGCCCCACCGGCTCCCCCAGCCCCCAGCCTTGGCCGGGGGTCCCGCCGTGGGCTGAGCAGGACTGGCATCACGCCGGCAAGTCCCCATGGGCTGGGTCGGGGGCACCGTGGTGGGCAGGGAGGCAGCGATCACTCCCCCTCGATCCCACAGCCACCCCCGAATTCCTGAGCTGCACGTGGGCTGATGTCACCCCCGCCGGTGCCTCCCACCCACCCCCGGGCACGTCCCCTTCCCGCGGAGGGTCACGCCGGGGCGATGGCAGCCGCGCTGTCTGCGGGAGCCACTGGCTCTGACAACCCTCTCCAGACAAAGGGTGTTTGTTCAGGAGCTGCAGCCGTGTGGCCCCGGTTCATGTGATGCCGGCTGACCACCGCTGCCTGCTGGCCTGGCTTGTGCCACACCCAGTGTGGTGCCAAGCTGGTGACCCTGGGACTTTGCCTGCCCCAGTGTGTGGCAGGTGCCCGCTGTGCCTGGAGTTGGGGGTCCCAGAGGGTACCTGGGCAGGCTGGGTGCACCAAAGGCCAGAGGTGCCCTGGGGGTAGCACCTTCTTGCTCAGAGGTTGATGTCCCAATCCCACAGCATGACACAGCCTGGGCTGTCTCTACTGCAGATGTGTGGCCACAGTCCCCAGCCACATGACCCCCATAGGCCATTGTGCCCACCTGCAGAGCCTGGGGTGCTGGGTGCCAGTGCAGATGAGCAACTGTGCCCTTGTTTTTGTTGGAAAAGCAGCCAGAGCAGTGGCACCCTCTGCCTCAGGCATGGCGGTGGTGACATGCCACACCCCAGGACATGCTGTGCCACAGGGTACACCTGCATGGGGGTGTGGCATGTGTGGAGATGTGCCATGTGCAGTGCCATGCCCTGCACGGTGCTGGGGACAGGGACATGCTGTGCCAAGTTCCACTTGCCCTATTGTCACTGTCCGGCTGGGATCCTATGGCACCACTGGTCGTGCAGAGCCCAGTCCTGGGCCAAAGCCAGGGCAGGTATGCACCATGTGCCATGGCCAGGACAGGATCCTGGCAGGGTGTGTGTGGAGCATCCCTGCTGCCCTCTGTGATCCCATTTTCCCCCCTGGGCCCCTGAGCTGTGGCCATGCCACATGTGCCCAGGACCCCCTGCCCACCCAATGCCCTGTCCCCAGTGAGCTTTGTGGACTGTGGAGAGCCGCACCGAGCCGCCTTCCTCCCGGACGACACGCGCTTCAAGGTGAGCCGGGATGGCGTCGTTTCTGCAACCCGGCCCCTGCGGCTCCAGCGGCGGGAGATCACCTTCACCGTGCACACGTGGGACACCGCGGGCAAGAGGCACTCGGCCAAGGTGACTCTGCACCGGCAGTGGCACCAGCACCACCGACACCACAAACAGATGCAGCAGGTAAAGCACAGACCCAGTCGCTGGGGTCACGGCAGCCCCTCTCCTTGGTGAGGGTGCTGGCAAGGTGCTGGCACTGAGCAGAGCCATTCTCCCTGCAGGACACAGCACCTGACGTGCTGACCTTCCCAGAGCATGGACACGGTCTCCGGCGGCAAAAGAGGGACTGGGTCATTCCCCCCATCAACTGCCCCGAGAATGAGCGGGGGCCCTTCCCCAAGAAGCTGGTGCAGGTACGTGGCCCCGAGGGGACAGGGTGTGGGAATGGGAGAGCACTAGAACCCTTCTCAACCCCATATTCCCATTTCACTGCCAGATCAAATCCAACAAGGACAAGGAGACCAAGGTTTTCTACAGCATCACAGGACAGGGAGCGGACACCATCCCTGTGGGTGTCTTCATCATTGAGCGGGAGACAGGGTGGCTGGAGGTGACAAAGCCTCTGGACCGGGAGGAGAAGGATAAGTACATAGTGAGTGAGTGGGGACCTGCAGCAGGGGTGGACGGTCCTGGGGGCTGCATGCAGGCTGACTGTGTTCTTGCAGCTCTACTCCCACGCCGTGTCGGCCAATGGGCAGCCTGTGGAGGACCCCATGGAGATCATCATCACCGTCACTGACCAGAACGACAACCGGCCCATCTTTACCCAGCAAGTCTTTGTTGGCTACATTGAGGAGAATGCCAAGCCAGGTGAGTGGGGGACTCTGAGCCAGGACCACACAGAGCCCCAAGCAGGAGCAGTTCCAGGGTTTCCAGTGGGTTCTGTCCCATAAGTAAAATCTCCCCGGCTTGTCCCAATGTCCAGGCACGTCTGTGATGACCGTGAATGCCACGGACGCAGATGACGCAGTCAATGTGAACAACGGCATCATCCACTACTCCATCCTCAGCGAGGAGCCCAAGAGCATGCAGTGGATGTTCACCATCAACCCCGAGAACGGCATCATCAGCGTCATTGGCACGGGGCTGGACCGGGAGGTGAGTGCCCTCGCCATGTCCCAAGGGAACCTGCAGCACCTCTGCAGAGGGACATGCCAAGCGGAGACTGGGGATGTTGAAATCCTGAGGTGCATCCGGTTCAGTGACTTGCCATCTGTGGGTCACTGTCCCCAGCTCTGGGGGTATCTGCAGCCCTGAGCCCATGAGGGGCTGTGCTAGGGACACTGCAGGACCCCCAGCACTGTGGAGCTGCAGAGTGTGTGCAGTGCCACCATAGGGACTCCCAGTCCTGCTAAGCCCCAGGAGCAGGCGCATGCCAGCCCCTTGGGTGGGTGGGGGGGGTGTTGACTGTGTCTGTGTCAGCAGGGAACAGTGAAGCCAGAGAAGGGTGGAGAAGCAGGCAGGCAATACTCGGAGGAGGGGATCATCCTGGCTCCCACCCTTGTCCTAACCTGTGTGATTTTGCCCTGCAGACCACTCCCAACTACACACTGATCATCCAGGCTGCAGACCAGGAGGGCCTTGGCCTGACCAACACTGCCACTGCCATCATCCAAGTCACTGACACCAATGACAACCCTCCTGTCTTCAACCCTGACATGGTACCCCCTGGCCCCACAGCCACTGCTCTCCCTGGGCATCGTGGCACAAGCCCCCACACGGAGTGCTTGATGCCGCAGGGATGACCATCACTATCCCCTCTCTTGCAGTACGAGGGGTCAGTGAATGAGAATGAGCCAGGGGTGGTGGTGGCCCGGCTGCATGTGACAGACCAAGACATGCCAGGCTCCCCAGCCTGGAAGGCCATCTACCGCATCCAGAGTGGGGACCCGAGGGGTGACTTCAGCATCACCACTGACCCCAAAACCAACGATGGGCTCCTGAAAACCGCCAAGGTGGGTACCAGTCTCATGCAGCCACCCCAGCACCAGCCAACTCCCTTCTGGCACTACCCAGCTCCTTTCCCTCCCCCAGGGCCTGGATTACGAGACCCAGCAGCAGTACCACCTTGTGGTGGCGGTGGAGAACGAGGTCCCCTTCTCTGTGCCCCTGAAGCCTGCCACGGCCAGTGTGCTGGTGGTGGTCAGGGACGTGAACGAACCCCCCATCTTCGTGCCCCCAGTCAAGAAAGTGGAAGTGATGGAGGACGTGCCAGTGGGCTACCAGGTCACCTCCTACACAGCCAAGGACCCTGACAAGGACCAGAGGCAGAAAATCACGTGAGTGAAGGGTGACAGTGGCAGGGGGCTGTGCTGGAGTGCCTGAGGGGTTGTGCTGCACTGGGCACCCCTTCATCTTCCCCCACTGACCCTTGGCTTCCCCCAGGTACCGCATGGGCAGCGACCCCGCGGGGTGGTTGGCCATCGACCCTGAGAACGGCATCGTCACGGCGATACAGCCACTGGACCGGGAGTCGGCACACGCCATCAACAGCACCTACAAGGCCATCGTCCTGGCTGTGGACAACGGTGAGGGTGACGGCCGCCCCCTGGGGAGGGGACTGCTGCACCTCTGTCCCCCTGCGGGTCCTGGGGTCCCTCCCTGGGTGCCTTGCTGACTCTCACCTCCACAGGGTCACCACAGGATGCCACTGGCACGGGGACACTGCTCCTCCTCCTCCAGGACGTGAATGACAACGGGCCTGTGCCAGAGCCCCGGAATTTTGACATCTGCAACCGGCAGCCTGAGGAACAGATACTGAAAATCGTCGACAAGGACCTGCCCCCCAACACCTTTCCCTTCAGGGCAGAGCTGGTGCATGGCTCCAGCATCAACTGGACTGTCACGGAGAATCCACCTGGTGGGTGCCATCTGTGCTGGTGCTGGGCCTATAGTGGGTATTAGGCTGGGGAAGTGCCATGGGGAAAAGTCTTGTGCTGGTTCCAAACGTGTCCCTAAACCAGAGCTGGGGGAGGGTCTGGAGCACCAGGAGTGGCTGAGGGAGCGGATGGGGCTCAGCCTGGAGAAAAAGAAGCTCAGGGGGAACCTTCTTGCTGTCTCCAACTACCTGATGTGAGGGTGGAGCCAGGTGGAGGTCAGGCTCTGATCCCCACGAACAAGTACCAGGACAAGAGGAAATGGCCTCAAATTGTGCCGGGGGAGGATTAAGTTTGATATTGGGGATAATTCATTTATGGAAAGGGTTGTCAGGCACTGGAACAGGCTGCCCAGGGCAGTAATCGAGTCATCACCCCTGTCTCTGGGGGATCTAAAAGCCATCTGGATGTGGTCCTTGGCGACACTGGTTAGTGGTGGCCTTGCCAGTTCTGGGGGAACAGTTGTACCAAATAATCTTGTGGAGGCATTTTCCAACCCAAACAATTCTGTGATTCACCAAGACATGGTGAAGCTGAGCATGAGGAAGGAGCTGGAGCCAGGGGAGTATAGTGTCTTCCTGAAGCTGCTGGATGCCCAGGGCAAGGATCAGATCACACCGGTCAAAGCGCAGGTCTGCAGCTGCGAAGGGCCGGCCAAAAACTGCGAGCGCCGAGCGTACGTCTCTGGGGGCATGGGCGTCCCCGCCATCCTGGGCATCCTGGGGGGCATCCTGGCACTTCTCAGTGAGTACCATGGGAAGGGGACAGACAGGGCAGGGATAGGGCTGCCCTTGACCCCCTGCCCTGACGCCCTGTCCCTCTGCCCACAGTCCTGCTGCTGCTGCTGTTGCTTTTTGTGAGGAGGAGAAAGGTGGTGAAGGAGCCACTGCTGCCTCCCGAGGATGATATGAGGGACAATGTCTACCACTATGACGAGGAGGGTGGTGGCGAGGAGGACCAGGTGGGATGGCTGTGTCTGCTGGCCCCTGCCTGCTGGGTCCTGGTGATGGTGTCTGTGGTTGTCCCTCGAGCCTTGTCTCCTTGTGTCCCCCCAGGACTATGACCTGAGCCAGCTGCACCGGGGGCTGGATGCCCGTCCTGAGGTGATCCGCAATGACGTGGCTCCCCCACTGATGGCTGCCCCCCAGTACCGGCCCCGGCCTGCCAATCCCGACGAGATTGGGAACTTCATCGATGAGGTGAGTCCTGACCCAGAGAGTCCAGGGGGTGACACGCCTATCCATCCCAGCACCGTTGGGGTGTCCCCCGTGCAGGGGGGGACAGGCACTGACCCCTCCACCCTCCCCAGAACCTGAAGGCAGCCGACACGGACCCCACAGCTCCTCCCTACGACTCGCTGCTGGTGTTCGACTACGAGGGCAGTGGATCGGAGGCCACCTCACTCAGCTCCCTCAACTCCTCCAACTCCGATGAAGACCAGGACTATGACTACCTCAACGACTGGGGCGGCCGCTTCCGCAAGCTGGCTGAGCTCTACGGCGGTGGGGAGGACGACGATTAGGGACCTCCAGCTGCCCCGCCTCATTTCACCCCTCTGGACTCACTTCGGTCTCTGCCCAGGGGTGGCCAAACCCCCCCTCCAACCACACTTCAACCCAGTGCCCACATCCCCTTTGCTAAGGGAGGCTTGGTGTCACCGTGGATGGCAGGGTTTTTGGGGAGTCTGTGTGTTTCCTGGCCCCCTTGGCTCCATTTGGGCCATTTCCCACCTGGGAGCTGAGGTGCTCCCAGCTGAGGAGGCCAGGATCAGCTCCTCCCTCCCTTTTCTATGGACAAAAAGGGTTTCTCTGGCGCTCTTCCAAATACCTCGTGCTCCCAGCCCTGCACAGCAGCTCTCCCACTGTGCTCAGATCATGAACCCAGTGCTGGAGCAGCGGGGTGAGGTGCTCGACCAACACAGACCAAAGATACGCCCTCACAGGGAATTGTATTTGCTGGAGTGTGTACAGGCAGATTTCTATTTTTCCGTATCCCAGATTATGGTTTGATTTCCTCCCATATCGTGCCAGGTGTAATTAGTGTGCAGTCAATGAAAGGTGCTTTCGGAAATCAAAGGGCTTTCCTGAAATCCTGACCCTTGTGTTTAGCTGTTGTTTGTATTTTTTATCATGAAAAAGGGGTCTGATGCGAGCTGGGAAACCAGCCTTGGCCAAGTGTTGATTGTATTGTTTTTATATAAAATTGAAATAATAAATTCTTTTAGGAAAACCTCTCTGTGTGAGGCTCTGCTGGCACTCAAAGGCTTTACCTACCCCACAGTTATAGCCATGGCCCCCTCCAAAAGGCAGGTGGGAAATTAGTCATGGAACAGTTTGGCTTGGGAGGGACCTATAAGATCATATTCCAAATCCCCTGCCAGGGGCAGAGACACTTTCCACTAGACCAGGTTGCTCCAAGCCCCGTCCAACCTGGCCACGGATGGAGCAGCCACAGCTTCTCTGAGCAACCTGTGCCAGGGCCTCATCATCCTCACAGCCAAGAATTCCTTCCCAATATCCTATCCAACCCTGCCCTCTGTCAGTGGGAAGCCATTCCCCGTTGTCCTGTCACTCCTCCCTTTGTCCCAGTCCTTCTCCAGCTCTCCGGGAGCCCCTTCAGGCACTGGGATCGGCCCCTCCCTTTCCCCGACCTCCCCAAGATGGCGCTGGGTGGAGCGGCCCCGCCCCTCGCCCCGACCTTCCCAATATGGCGGTGGAGTCTGGCCCCGCCCCTTCCCTTGACCCCTCCAAGATGGCGGCGCTCTCTGACAGCGGTTCCAACATGGCGGGCGGCGCAGACCCGGAGCTGGAGCCGGGGCTTGTAGTGGAGGCACTGGAGCTGCTGCTGCGGCCGCCCGGTGACCGAGACAGCGCTGCCGAGCCCGTCCAGGAGCCCGCCCTGTGCCCGGAGACGTTGCGCAAGAACGCGGTGGCGCTGGAGGAGCGGCTGTCGCGGGCGGCGGGCTGGGCCTCGCTGCGTTCTCTGCGGGCGGCAGTGCTGTCCCGCAACCCCGCGCTGGCGGCCGGGGCGGCGGGCGCGGAGCCGGGCTGGGCGGCGGCCTGCGGGCTGCTGGCGCTGCTGCTGTGCCTCAAGGAGCGCCTGGCCGCGCTCGCCGCCGCTCCTGCTGCCGCCGCAGCCCCCGGGGCTCCGCCGCCGCCCGCCGCCGACACGCTGAGCGCGGGGCAGGCGCGGGCGGTGCGGCGGGCACTGCGGGCCGCCGTGGGGCTGGGGCTGCTGCCGCACCTGCCACCGGGGCTCGGGCCGTGCCCCGGGCCGCCCCCGCCCGGCCCCCGCGGGGCCCGCCTGCTCGCCGCCGCCGCCGCCCTGGCCGAGCTGGCCCGGCTGCCCGCCCTGGGCGTCCCGCTGCTCGCCAGCCACCTCCGCCTGCTGCTCGCCGGGCTCTGCGTGCTGGGACACGGCCCCGCCGCCCTGTGCCAGGTCCGTGCGACACTCGCCTCCCTGTGTCCCCGCTCCCGGGGCTGGCGTGGGTGCCAAGCCAAGGCCTAGCCTGCTCCCCGGGGTGAAGTCCCAGGCTCGTTGCCCAGCACTGCATCCCACGTCCTGCCCGTAGTTCCCCATGTGAGAGAAGGGACAGGGGCCATGGAGCCCCAGAAGGGGCTGGAGGGCACCGTCGCTGCCGTGGGTTTAGTACCCAGCCACTAACTCCAGTGTGTGCCCTCACCACCCTGGTGTGTTTTGTTGCAGGGTGTTTCGGAAGCGGAGCGAGCGCGGTGCCGGGAAGCCCTGCAGGACATCCTGGACCGTGTTTACCAGCCGCTGGCAGTGCAGGAGCTGCTCGTCCTGCAAGGTCCACCCAAGCAGGTACCCAGTGATTGTGGGCCATGAAGGTGTGTAGCACATACGGTGCTGCTGTGTTCCCACACTCCGAGGGTGCTGCTCTCCTGGAAATGTTCTTAAAGCTTTAAAATCCAGTTCCGGAGCGCTGGTGAAGCTGCTGGGTGTGTGTCATTCCAGCCCTGCCATGCAGGGGTGTGTAGGTGGGTGTGAACCCAGGACTGTCATCACAGCACGTGCTACCTTGGCTTCGCACCCACATCCACTGTGCCCGGCCAAGTGGAGCTCCTGCTCCTCCAGAACCTGCCCCTTCCTGCTCTGGGGATGACACAGGGCACCTGCTGCTGTTTGGGGCCATTCCAAAGCCTTGTGGGGAGAAGGAGGAGATGGGAAATCTGAGACTTGTTTCTGCAAAGTCTTTAAGGGATAATAATAGAATCGTGGAATCCTGGAATGGTTTGGATTGGAAGGGACCTTAAAGCTGTGTTCCTTTCCAGAGTGTTCCACGGCCCAGGGCTGGCCCAGGGCCGGCTCCAGCCTGGCTGCGGCGGCTCTGTGGACACCTGCTCTCCGAGAGGCTGCTGAGGCCCAACGGGGTGCAGGCTGTGGTTCGGGGTGTCTTGGAGGGCACAGGAGGTGAGTGGGGGGCTTTGGGCCACCAGGATCACAGATTCAGAGGTGTCTGGAATGGTTCATCCCATGAGAGGCCTAGAAGGGCAGAGCTGCCAGAGTACGAACATGGCAATCAGCTTTTGCCGGGCCAAGATGACTCGGTGACACACAGATTTTGCCTCTGACTGTGGTGACCTCCCAGACTGCCCTAATTTGGGATACACGTTTTTGAGGCCTACACTGAAAGCCTCCAACACCATTTAGCTGTTTATGCCTCCGTGGGGTCACACCTTGTGTGTGTTCAGAGTGTGGTCTGTCCCAAGGAGTGCCCTGTCCCAGTGCCAGTGTGGTGGGAGCCATGCTGGGCACTGGGCTGTGAGAGCTGCAGGGACAATGAGACTCATCCCCTGCTCCCTGTGTCCTGGCAGGGAGGGAAACTGTTGCTATCCAAAAGCTGAATCCCACAGATTTTAGTGCCAAAGCCTCCTCTAGCCAACACCAACCTGATGTCACTGTCCAAGCATGACCTCCCTCCACCTTTTGGCTTGTCCACCTCTCTATAGGAGTTGTTTTCCATTATCAAAGCTCTTGCACAGCAATTTTGCCCCTTCTGTCTTTAAGTTCAGGTGTCTCCTGAAAGATGGTTGGTTTACTGACAGCAATAATAGCTCAAAATCCAATTTTTGGCCAGGAACTCTGGCTTCAGCCAGAGCTGGCCGCCGGTCAGAGCTGATCCTGGGTTTCTGCTGCTGCAGGTGGTGCTGGCGCTGAAGCAGCAGCTCTGGACTGGAGGAAATGTGACGCAGTTGCAAAGATCTTGGCTTCCTGCCCACAGCAGTGCCTCTCCCTCGAGGACTACTACAGACAGGTGTGCCCCCAGGTAAGTCCCTCGTCCCCTCTGCCTGGGCATGCAGAGCCAAGTCCATCTTGGAGGGTGTTGGGACTGCCCCTTCTGCTTGAGCGTGGCCTGGCTTGAGCCAGAACAACGTGGAGGTGTTTTTCTAGCAATGGGACACACTTCCACTCTTAAATTTTCCATGTTTTATTGAAATACTGGATGGTGTTGATTGTGTGAGCTGCTTGACACTGCACTACACCAAGCTCTGTGTGGAGCTCTTGTTTCCAGCCTTTGGCTCTGGGAGTGGTGCAGGATCTTGGTTTGAGCCCAGAAGGGCGTTCTGTGTGCGTGGGAAGGACACTGGCTCTTCCATACTTGGAATGTCGTGCCAGATGACCAGCAAAGGAGCACATTGGACAGGTCCTTGTTCACTGCCAGGAGCCATGCTGCCCCCTCTGAGGGCATGCTGATCCTTGTTCCTTTGTCACTTTCCTTGCAGATTCTGGACTTGCTGCACATCCAGGACAAAGTGGCAGCGCGGCAGTTCCAGCGTGTGGCCACCACCACGGTGCTCACCATGGCCAGGGAGCACCCAGAGCTGGCAGAGAGGCACCTGCTCCAGCCCCTGCTGTTCCCTCTCCTGCGGTGCTCAGAGGCAGCAGGTACCACATCCAGGAACAGTCTGGTTTCTTTCCTCGCTGATTTTTGTCATTCCATCTGAATTTCTTCAGCCTGCAGACCATGCGAGCCCAGCTCTTTGTGCTGGCCATGTCTGTCTGTGTAGTTACACCATATTTACTACCACTTGAGCCAAGTTACTCCAGCGTGGGAGCCGAATGTTGTGGCTCCTGCCATGGGCTCCTTGGGGAGCTTTCCCAGTCTGACACCCTTGGTTTGGGCTTCCGGATGGAAACCATAGGTTCCCAACGCAACCAGCAGCTCTCCAGGGAATCATTCATCATGGAATTGTGGTCTGCCTTGATTTCTGTGTGTCCTTGGGGGTTTACAGCACTGCAGAACAATTAGGACAGCTAACGAGGGCTCCTCTGTTCCCATGGTAAGGGGAGGGGAGGGAAGGGAGCCGTGGAAGTGTTTTTGGGTGCAGTGTATGGCAGGGCTGCTCTGCTGCGGGGGGGCTCTGGGGTGCTTTAGGGTGCTGATGTCTCTGCCCTTTGCTTCCAGAGCTGGCAGTGGAGGATTTGGCAGCAGGGACCATGCTGGTGCCAGAGGCAGAGCTGGGTAGCTGCATGGAAGATGTGCTCAAGGTACGATGTTTGATTTGTTGGAGAAAACTCTAAGAAAGAGCTGATTTGAGACTTTGTGAGCATTTCAGTGTGTGGTAGACCAGACAGACCCAACATCTCCTGCAGTCATGCACAAACTTACCTCATCCTTATCTTCAGGAGTGCCATGACCTGCACATGGGCTGTTCCAGGACCTCACCACCATCACAGGGAAGAATTCCTTCCCAATATCCCATCTAAGCCTGCCTTGTGGCAGGGAGAAGCCATTCCCCCTTGTCCTCTCACTCCCGGCCCTTGTCTGAATTCCTTCTCCAGCTCTCTTGGAGCCTCTTTAGGCACTGAAAGGGGCTTTAAGTTCTCACTGGAGCACAGGTCTTGGTTTTCATGTTTGGGGGAGAGATGGGATCCATCCTTATGTTCCCTATGAAGGATCAGGGTTTTTTGTGGAGGCTTGTCCTCTGACACCTTCCTTCATAGCTCCATTTCCTACCATTCCCACCAGTATCCGCATTGCCACGCTGCAGGCTCTTCTGCCTGCCCTGACAGCAGCTTCCTGCTGCATGTTCCAACTCAGAAGGACATCTCCAACCCCGGAATTCAAATTTCAGAACCTAGTGACTTGGTTCTTGGCATGCCCTGAGGCATGCTAAGCTCTTAAATGCTGGAATTGTTGTCTGTTTTCCCAGTAATGATCTGTTGTAACTGGCTGGCAGGCAGAGACTGGTCTGGAGGGCTGCTCC